GTCAAGGTCAATGTCACTTGCAGGGTTTGAATAAATTATTTTTGCACCTGATGAGCGCGCTTTTCTTCTGCGTAGTTATGGGAAGCTACCTCGTATTTTATGCACTCGTATAACCATCACCCAGCTGCGGACATTATCAAACGACATACTATCTTTATTTACTGAATAATTTTTGGTTCCCTACTGTCATTGCTAAAAACAAACAGATCGCATATGTATTCTTAAAACATAACCTGTGTGGAAAATTTGCATATATCAAGAAAGTTGAAATGGTAAATTGGCCACCGTAACGATTACAAAAGCTGACGTTTCGAGCGTTAGCCCTTCGTGGAAAAGTCTAAATAAAAATCCCATGGCGACAGGGCAAAGGCATCATGTTAAACATTTAGCCATGTCACCATGGCTAAATGGTGACAGAGAAACTAAACAGAACACTCGAAATCTGTTTGGCTCAGACTTCTTTTACTTATGCTTCAGTAAAAGCTCCTTTTTAAGGGCCGTGCTCCCCACGGAGGCTCAGCAAGCCTCGTAAGTTCAATCGATCCGTAGAAGTTTCGTGTGGACGAATAGCGAGACCTGAGAAGGTTTACGATCGCATAAGCCTAATAACTCCTTCACTTTCTTAATGAAAATCATAAACTTGTGAACAAATCTACTTTAGGTAGTATCATTGGCCCTAAATTCGAAAATGGGGAACGTTGGAAATCAGCCTTTGTTACGAATAATTTAGGACACCTCCCGATTAGCGTTCGGAGGTGGACGTAAAACATTTTGAAAGCGGATAATTTCTCGTAAACATTGAGGTCGGCTGCCTGTAAAAGTTTCCGTCGAATTGCTGTGAACATGTTCTTTTAAGTCATGGTAGTCCATTCCTACAGTTTCCCTACAGTTTCATCATCTGATGGTTACTTATCATATTTTCATTGTTTGATACTCATTTTGCAAAGATTCTCAGTCGATATCTTACACTGCTTTGTAGACAATCGCTACGTACAACAATAGCACTACTTCGTCCTCAGAGCACGAAATGTAGTTTCTTTTACGAAGTTTCTCCTTTCAACAAACTTTCACATGGACCAGCTACAAGTTATTAAACGTAGTGTGGACGAAACCTTAGTTGGGTAAATCAGCTGTCAAACACCTTTGCCTTCGCTCTATTTTGTCCAGCGATTACGACTTTAAACTGAATTGAAGAAAGAAATGCAAATTTTTGTCGAAGGAAATGGTTGTTATCCTCACAGTTTCTTGCCGGTTATAATGATCGGAGATCTTTGTTCCTCTTGGAATATGACACTAATTTTTAAGAAAGGATTTACTTTCAGGACGGCCAATAACAGATGAGGCAACTTATGAAGAAAGCTTGGCTATTGGCTATTTGTTTTTATTAATGATATTGTTGTGCGTAAATCGTTCTTTCTTAAATTGGCAATATTGTTTTCGACCGAATTCATCAACCAGGAGACAAAAATATTTAAGCAAAATTTACACGAAAGAAAGCGCCCTATTTCTCTGTTACTCTGAGCAGTTTGGGAAGAAAGAAAATCACTGAAATTTGGAATCGAATTATGTTTGACGTTCTAGGATTTGGTTTGGCTTCTGCAGTTTTGCTCGTCACATTTGGAAAGCTGATTACAGACAGCTGGTTTTCGTACGTTATGGTGGCCATCATTCATTTTCAAGTGGCAATGGCTTGGCTTGGCCTGAAAAGACCTCTAAGTATCGAAGATGACGATCATTACCTAGATAACATCGACGCTGAACATTTCAGGCACGATAGTTCTCGCGAAAAAAGCCGGTTAAAGTCATCTAAAAAGCATTCCAAGTAATTTGAAATAAACTCCAACTAATTCAAAAAGGATCCTATCAAGAAAAATCTTTTGATAGAAGATTGGAAAATTTGCGGCAGTGAGTTGTTTATATGATGTTCGATGATGTGGTCATTTTGCAACAAGAGAATCCCTGTTCACATGTCCACCATCTCGCCAAAGGATTCAGCTCTGTCTCCTGATCTTTCATTTATACAAAACTGATGTTACGAAAACTTTGACTGAAGTGTCCGTAAAGTTATTCCTGGATAGCACTCAACCTCAAACGATTAGCTGTTGAATACCGTCTAAGACGAGTAGATCAACCAGCTTGAGGGTCAAGAAACCAGGAGGGTGACCATTGGCACGCAGGCCCAACACTGGCCCAGTATCGGTACACACTCTCAATACTGGTAAACAGTCGCAGGTACACAGGCTAAGTAGTGGTACAGAGGCAAAATATTGATACACGGTCTCAGTATTGGTACACAAGCCCAGTGTTGGCAAAATCCGAGATGCTGTTCCTTCATATTATTGTACGGTTGGTATGACAATTATCTACAAACAAGCAGACTGAAAAACTGTCTAAAAGCTGATTGTTGTACTCACCAAACTAATTATTCCACCGTTTTTCTCGTCACCTGCGATTCAAGATGGCCGTCATTTACGTTTTGAACTATCCAAGATAAACAGCTTAGGGTTTCAAATGACTGACATAAATCAGACTTTTACATGGAGATTCCAAACCTTAACTAATTTAATAACCAAACAGTCCTCATAAGTGCACCACAACTAAAGAAACTACGAGAAAAGGAAGCCTGAAAAAGTCAACTTCGGCGGCATTTTCGAGCATTTGCTTTCATTGCAGTTCATCCGTAAAGATACTTCATTATCTAATTAGCAAAGGTTTAGAATAATATGAACACTTCAAAATTTTTAATTTTTTGTTCATGACTTCACTTTGGATGCAGATTTGAGGACGGTGAGCTTACAAATAAAAAACTGAAAGCGAGAGATGCTCAAAAATTGAGGCGCCACAAAATTGGTTTGGCGAATATCAACTAAGTTGAAATTGTAAATTGGCCGCCGTAAAGAGTTAAAAAGCTGACGTTACGAGCGGAAGCCCTTCGTCAGAGCGAATGGCGAATGTTACGTGTTCTTATGGGTTAATTTATGTAGACAAAAGCTTTTTGCTGTCTCTGATAAATAAAACACTTAACACTAATGATAAGGACGACACGTCACTTTCTTTTTAAAGTTCCTAAAATGCGCAGATATCTGACTTCTTCGATCTCTCGCATTCAAACAAACGTGAACCTTGCCAATTACAACTTGAGTCTGCTGCAGCCTGAAATGGCAGCGTACCGTCTAAACCGCAACTGGTCCTTTTTGCTATCATTTCTAATGCTGTAAAAAAAAAAACAAAACAAAACAAAAAAAACAAATCGATGGTTATGCAGTGTTATGACACGGGAGTTCCTCGATAAAAAACAAACAAATCATGTTACTTTACGAATTCGTTCATGTTTAAATACATGTCATATTTACGCAATATCTGCTTTTCTGTTTTCTTGGAACTTCTAATGCAAAGAAATGCAAATCAAGCTGACTCATCATTTGTCACCTTTTCACCGCCGCACACTTATCTTCCATACAGTATACCTAACAGTTGTTCTTCAATTCACTCATCACGTTAAAAAAACTCAGTTTCAAATAAAAATCTGTTTTTTAACGTCGCTTCGCGGCTTACTTGCCGCATTTTCTCTCGTTATACTCCATTCAGTCTGTGAACAGAAAAAACGTGCGTATAGAATATCAAAAATGACAGGACCTATGATTAATTTGACGTGCGGTTTCTCTTCCAGGCCAAGCTCCGAAGCATGTCCATTATAGCGCATCGAATGTGTCTCAATTTCCAGCAGTAAATAAAAGGGTTCAGAGATGAATTAAGGTACAAGATACTCAGTGAATAAAGGAAAAGTTCCTTCAAAGAGATGTTCGAACCGTTCATCTTAATGGCAGCTAGGGAGATAATATGGGGCAAATAGCAAACCAAAAACGCGAGATACACGTAAAATGTACCAGATACAGAATTGAAGAGGCGATCAAAACTTAGCATGGAGCACGTTTGTTCGCCTCGTTGCAGCCGCAGTGTCTGAATCTGAATCTTGTGACGTCGTACGACGAAATAAATCTTGGTGTACATCAGAACTGTTAGGAGAAGACCAATAACTCCACCAGTTATACGAATTAGTCTTTGAGTTTCGTAAAGATTCCAGAGTGTTAGCAAAGAAACAATTCCGCTCACAACCCATACCGATATCACCACAGCAACAACACGCTTGTGGGTCACAACCACCAGGTATCTGAGATGAAGTTGAACAGCGAGGAACCTGTCTGCACTTAGAGCTACAACACCCAGGAACGAAGCTGTAGAAAACAAATTACCCAAAATCTGAAAAATCATAATGGTTTCACAGCCAGAATCGTTCTGTTGCAACCAGTTGACCAGAAGTAAAGTGTAAAATGGCTGAACAACCAAACCAAGGCCAACATCTGAAACAGCAAGACTCAAGAGAAACGTTTTCCAGGTCTGTGGTTGCGACGAACATCTTCGTATCGCGTGGATCATTAGTGCGTTCATTATGATGGTGTGGTAATTTAGAAAACTGTTCAAGACACAGTTATTGATATACGTTAAACGCAAATCTTCCAAGTCTAAGGACGAGGGATAATGCTGAAACAACTCGTCGCAAAACAGTTCGTTCATGACTATTCGCTTCGAAGACTTCCTCCTGGGAAAAAATATTTCCTTCGTCATGTGTTCTGGCTTGGGCATTCAAGGAATTATGGGATACGAGACATCTGGAATGCGACAAAGAAACGAACTATTCCGCTTACTATCAGAGTTTGGAGACAAACTTCCTGTGGCAGTGGGTTACCATTATCTGCTTGCTTTTCCAATTTTAAAAATAGCACAATTAGTTTTTATCCCAACGTTTCTTCTTCGTATTTGGTAAACGCCCGATAGCAGTTGAGTTGGAAAACCAACGAAGATTAGTAACTTAATCAAAAATCCCTCAGCAAGTCAACCTCAGATGTAAAAACAATCTCTCTTTTCAGTTCAAACATAACCATCTACGGAAAGGGATGACAGTTATCGCCAAAATTTTAATAGAATTTCACCTTCCAAAAAAAAGCTTTGACACGAAACAGATAGCTGAATAGGATTTTCACTCAAAAGGTTCATTATGAGAAGGTTTTTCTACGAAGTGTGCACCGCAATTACAATTACAAATTACAATTTTTTTCACAAATGCTGATATATTCTTAGTTCTCTATCATGTACATAAGGTGCTTATCAGCCTGAATTGCACATGAGTGCAAAAAGGTCGTCCACATGCAGACTTCAAAATGAGCGGCCGCGTAAAACTGCAGATCGTCAACTATTTCTCATAAATGTATAATTATCGCGGCAAATTGTAATACTGATACAAAACGTACAAAGAATCGTCGAAAAATGCATTAAGATCTACGCAAAATGTAATAAGGCATTCAACGCGGCCTATGATAACTTTTCGACGCAAGCTCTAATAACTTTTCAAAGCAAAATGCAATAACCTTCTTGGCATAGAGTAATAACGCAGAGTTTAATTAAAGAAGGTCGGTACGTCTAACAGTGACTAGGATCACATTCATCGACATTGAAGTTATGAGAGTGAAGGAAATGATGACCAACTAAGGAAGCTCTTGATTAATAGATAAATTCTCCTTGTGAGCACCTTGGGAAATGTATAGAGAACAGTATGGAGAATATGCATTCTGATGTTAGGATGTAATGTATGAATAAACAAACCCGAGTCGTTCATAAGCTTAAGAAGTGGATCCTCTTCATAGCATTATCTAAACACCTGTGAACGTGCGACGACTCCAGTCCTGAGCGCGTTTTACTTGAAAATAAACGAGAGTCGCAGATGATGGCGAGAGCAAAGCCTTAAAAAGCCGCACGCTGAGGCGTGCGACGTGCGAGAAGAAAGAAGAAAGGAAGAAAAGAGAAAGGGAGGCGGTCATCTGATAAAATGATTATTGACAGTGTTGGGTCAGGTTGAACGGGAAAATACTGGCTCTATGTTTTTTGTTTTCATCCGGTCCTCCCACTTTGTCAACGGCATATATTACCACGTAATCTACGTCACGTAAACGCAACTGTGACACGATCATGCAGATTTTGATGTACGAATATACTTTGTATGTAATTTGAGAGATAGTAAATTTTGCGTTGTCGCATAATAAGGCGTAAAAAAGATATTGCACGTTACATTTTGCGTCTCTGTGTTCATGTTTTTCGTTAGTATAGCATTTTGCTCACTAAAAATCATGCAACGACAGAGTCAAAAACGCATAGCCATTAGCCAAGCAATTCAAAACTGTTGAATAACCAAATACTTTTTTAGACATTATTGTTCACCGTCTTTGCTGGCAAAGAAACAAACCGGCGATTGACGATGAAAAGGGAAAGGACAGATTTTGATTTCCCTATGCAAACAGAACGTGTAGCGTGTACTTATCTAATTATATCCAAAAAAATTAAGATAAAAATCTCCTTTGCAGCTTTAGTGTTGAATTTTCTTCCGAAATTAGTCCCAATGTGATGCAAGAATTGTTAAATTTCACTGTGAATATCTTTTTTTTTTTCCCTTTAAGGCGCTAAGCCTTGATTAGTGATCTTGAAAACTTGAGCGTAAATTATTCAAGTTTGGTAATTGAAATCTGTGTCAATCTTCTTCATTCAGTTTTTGATATCCTTGTTCCTTTTCACGTCATTCTTTCTATTGAAGTCTTTTTCCGACTTAGTTAAAAAAATAGCCTGTGTTTTTCTACATTTTGAAGTTAATCTGGCTTGTCCCAAACCCAACGAGGGTTTTAAAATTTCGCGATGTGGCGCTTCATATATGAAATGACATCAAGAAGGACTGAACAACATCTGCTGATGTTGTTGAGATAAACGATGTTTAGTCCAAGGCGTGTTCCGTAGTAAGTCCATGATAGTACGTCGAATGTGTCTCATCTTCCAGCAGTAAATTACAGGGTTCAGAGATGAATTCAGATACAGCAGGGTCAATGAGAAGAGAAAAAATATTTTTATAGAGGTACTTGAATTGTTAGGCCCCAAAGCTTCCAAGGAAATTAAAAAGGGTACATAACAAACAATAATAAAGACGTATATGTAGAAAACACCGACAGCAGAGCTTATGAGGCTAGAAAAATTCGCCCTCTCTTCTGACTGTAGAACTCGCAAAGACTGAATCTGCATCTTGTGGCGTCGTACAACAAAATAAATCCTTATGTAAATCAATGTTGTCAGAAGAATACCAGCAATTCCGAAAAGGGAAAGAATTAACCTTTGTGCATCGAGCAGATTCAATAATGTGAGTAAAGGAACAGTTGCACTTAACAGCCATATTGAGATCGCCACAGCGAAAATACGTTTGTGAGTCACAACCTCCTGGTATCTGAGATGAAGATGAACAGCTAGGAATCTGTCTACACTTACGGCCACCACACTTAAGAAAGAAGACATAGCAAAAAAGAATGCAATGTTCCTAAAAATCATATAAGTATAACAGTCAGGATTATTCTGTCGCAACCAGTTGATCAAAAGAGAGGTGTAAAGTGGCTGAACAAAAAACCCAATGCCAACATCGGAGGCAGCGAGACTCAAAAGCAAAGTCTTCGAAGTATTCGGCAAGGACGATGATTTGCGTATCGCTAACATGGTTACAATGTTTGACACAATGGCGGTATGTGTGAGGAAATTATTTAACACACAATTAGCGATGTAACTGGAACGAAGATCTTTGAAATCGGAGATGGATGGAATATACTGCAACAGCTCTTCACAAGACAATTCGCTCATGATAGTAATTCTCGTATCTCAATTCAAGGAAAACAAGAAAAAAATCCTGATTTACAGCAATTTCTTCTCTTGAGATAAAAGAGAATCGAACTCTTTCACTTATGAAGCCTTCACTTGCCAACTGCACGATTGAACTGAACGAAACGATCAGGGCGGCACTATTCAAACACTTGACCTTTTTAATATTCCGTTTGCGTCAATTTCGACGTCGAATTATCAACGGCATTGTCTATTGTTGCAGATCTCGCTAAGTGGGAAGGTACACGTAAACGTGGTGCTCGTAAAAATCAGGTACTTGTGTACCATCGGTAAAGTAAATAAGACACTAGCAAAAGCGCATCTACATCAATTTTTCATAACTGAAGAACTGTATTGAACGAGCAATATCTTGCACCGATAGCTCTGAAAGTGAGCTTTGTCTCTCTGTCTCGTAGAGACCTCACAATCAATTGTTCATACAATTACTTCCAAGTGTTAATAAACAAAGTTGCACTTTGCCTAAAGACCTTGTAATTACCCGTACTATCGCATAACCCATGTACTCCTTTATTGAACAACTCACAATAAAAAAAAATCCTAGTATCAGGGCCGGAGCGAATGGCGCGAGCCCCTGACGGCCTCGCGGAAAGCATTCGGAAAGAAGAAAAGAAAAAAAAAAAAACAAGAAACAAGAAATGGGGCGAATTGTAAATGGTTTTTAATTGGGTAATTAAGTCAGGCCAAAAGGTAAAAAAAAAAAAAATTCATGTTTGTTTCTCGGGCCGTGAAAAAAAATTATTTGACACTCGCTCATGACGTACGAAGGGCCAAATATTTTTCCATCCGGCCCTCCCACTCTGTCATTTTAAGTAAATAATACTCCATTAGGTAGATTTTTACAAGAAAGGCACAATGAAAGATGGCGTCAACTTAGTTCGCACGAAAATCTAATGTCAGATTGTTGGTCAAGATAAGTCACGTTTACAATCGAAACGGCAAGTCATAATTTCAATGATTACTTTAAATTTTCAAAGTACCTATTTAGTGATCTTAAAAACTTGAGCATAAATTATTCAAGTTTGGTAATTGTAAATCTGTGTCAATCTTCTTCATTCAGTTTTTGATATCCTTGTTCCTTTTCACGTCATTCTTTCTATTCAAGTCTTTTTCCGACTTAGTTAAAAAAATTGCCTGTGTTTTTCTACATTTTGAAGTTAATCTGGCCTGTCATAAACCCAACAAGGGTTTTAAAATTTCGCGATGTGGCGCTTCATATATGAAACGACAAAAAAAAAAAAACTTTTGCAACTTTCAGTGTAGATTTAAACCATCGTATTCAGACTATAGACGACAGTTGCTTTTAGGATGGTTTAATTAAAATTTTGAACTTCGACAAATAACATAACAAAACAAATCAGGGATCATTGTCGGAATTCGAGCAACTGCGCACCCACCCCTCCCCTAGCTTAACAACAGCCTGGTCATCTGATAACAAGTTATGGTTAATATTGTGTTAGGGGAGGAGCGGGTGCGCAGTTACTCGGATACAGTCACAATGCCATTGTTTCCTTAGAAAGAAATATAAACAGAAATAAAATGAACCGAAACTTACTCAGTTTCCCTCAAAGAAGATGGTCGTCGAGAGAAGATCAAAAGCTTGTCCATTCTATCCTTGCAATTGACCGGCGCATACATAATGGTGCAAACGCTGCGCACTAAGTTATCCCTCATACTTCCTTCTCTAACTACGTCGGCTGTAGCAGGAAGAACGAAACAGTATCAAGTTTCAGCAGTAACGAATTCCTTCCATTTAAGAGGCATAAATGTACTATAAACAAGTCTCGCTTTTTGCCTGATTAAAAAACCAAATCCAAAGTTGCCATTTCAGCCTGTCAAAAGGAGGTGCAGGAAAATGTTAATGAAGAGGTCGCGATGCGGTCTTGCATCTGGTGCGAGTTTTCTGAGTAAATCACAAAACGAAGTGAACGAATAAAAGGTGAGAAGTTTTTACTTTCTAAAGAAACTGATGTTCTATGCGGGCGTGAAACAATAACGGTGAAAAAACTACCGAAACGAATTTTGAAAAGTTGATGCTTCCAGCACCAACCGTTCGTCAGAGCATTTCAGTATTCGCTATGGTAGTTTACCAACCATTAGCGCAGTTTTCAATTGATTGACGAAAAACCAAAACCAAAGTTATCACAGCAGCGTCACGTTGACCAAAAGCGTGGGAAAAACGCGGCGACCAAGTTGCGTCTGATTGGTTAGGAGCATGGCGCAAGTTTTCTAGACCAATCACAAACCGAAGTAATGCACACTGAAGACCAACTAAGGATTGACATTTACGTTAAAAAAATATATTGTTAACAGCGAATGCAAATATTTTCGATATACTGAACTAACGGCTGTAAGAAGACGAAGAGAACCCAATTTTGTCGTTTCACATCTACCGTGAACGTTTGGAATCCATTATCTAGTAAAACTGAAAACGTCCAACTATAGATCCAAGGATCTACATTTAAGAAATTGAAATCCGAGCCATTTTTTCTGACTTCGCACATTTGAACACTAAGAAATATGCCTTATTGACCAAGCGTGAGGTCAAGATGGCTGGATATTGGCCGAGTTCTTTTTGTGCGTTTTTAAAGACCGAGATGAGGTCAAAGTCATTAAAACCCGAAAAATAAGCTTTGTAAATAATAAACTCTGAACAGTTTCCGAAATTTCTGTAATAGTTTTGAATGTTGTATTCACATAAGGTTGTTGGTAATTTGCTATCGACTTGCTATTCACAAACTGTTCTCGTATTTTCTAGACATCCTGCATGGCAGCGTGGGTCATTTCGGCGGCAAATCGATAGAAATTGTGATCTGTAACTTAATAATAAAAAGCAATTTTTATGTGAGAAGTCCCTGCTGTCTGGCTGAAATGAGCACCCGCGTCGCTTTGTCACTCTACCCGAAACTTAAAAGTGGGTTGCTATTATTACCATATGTTCGAGTGCAGGTCCCAGCCCTTTCTATTACACAATAAAATGGCAGGAAGAGAAAAAAAAAACATTAAAATTCTGTTTAATAGTTTCGCTTTTTATTCTTTGAAATTAATAAGAAGAGACCTACCGGATGGAATTTCAAAGAGATTGTTTACATGACAAACCTGAGAGATTATTTGCCGATAGACATCTAACTCTTTCATGAAAAACGCATTCACGGCTTCATTGCGGAAAGCCGGATAATTTCTTTTATCATTCATAAAATAATAACTCCTCGGTAACGCTCAATACAGCGCTGTAAACAATATTCATAAGGTTCAATACAAGTTTATGCCCTTTCAAATTATAATGAGATGAAAAAAAAAAAAAACAGTTGAATAATGGTTGTGAAACTTGGAAAGGAAAAATGAAAAGAAATTAAGATTTCAAACATCCAAATCTCATAACAGCCGGCGAACCTTGAAGTCTTACCAACAAGATCAGTTACAATATTTGCCAAAAATAAAATTTTTATCCTAATTGATAGATGACACTGACAAGATATCTCATTAATGTTTTAAAAGCTCGTGTAGCTCATCTTGACTTCACTGTTATATTAACTTGAAAACTTGCAGAGTAATTTGTAAACAACCCCGCGCATTAATCCGAAGTTTACACTCCAAACTGAACGATTTTCCAATAAATCAACAAACGGCTGTAAAGGGGGAAAAATTGCTCAACCAAGACCTTTATTCTCAGTCCGAAACTTGGGGCGTATTTTTTTTTCAAATTTCCATCACTTTCCCATTTCGTTTCTGTACAGGATATGCGGCTCCTTAAAATTAATCGTCCGTAAACGCGGGCTTTACAAACAAAAAGCACGAAAGTTCACCATAATTCATGTTCGTCACCATGTAATTCTATTTTGTAGTTGCATTAAAATAAGAAAGCTTCCGCAGGAGCATTGTAAGATTTTATCTAACTGAGATCGCGCAAAAATTAACAAGTTGGGTCACTTTGTAAAATGTCAGTTCGAAAAACTTTGTATTGACGCTTTCAGAAATCCCGCGTGACTAAATTGGTACAATCATCTTTATTTCATTCCAGCAATCTTATAACATACTACAGGTTGTACTTCAACGTTTTTAAGTCAGCAGCACTCTCAGTGGTGACGGCCGATCGATGCCAACTCGAGTATATTTGCTTTCTGTTCCAGGGCATGTTCCTCAGTGTGTCCATGATAGCGTGTCGAATGTGCCTCATCTTCCAGCAATAAATTACAGGGTTCAGAGATGAATTCATAAATAAAAAAGTATACGAGAAAAAGTAGAGGACCTTTGTAGAGTTATTTGTCACAGTTGTGTCAGCTAAAACCAAGCACATCATGTAAGGCAAATAGCAAGCCACAAAAACGAGATACACATAGAATATACCGAGTGCAGACTTCAGGACGTTCACCGTATTTGCCATCTCCACCTGCCGTAAACGCTGCAAAGACTGAATCTGTTTCTTGTGGTGTCTTACAGTCATATATATTTTCAAGTAGACCGTTGTTGTGACAAGGAAGAACGACAACCCAAAAATGATCAAAAATATCGAGTGTACTAGAAACGGAACCCAGAGGATCCATGATGTAAGAAACACACTTAACAGCCATATTGAGATCACCACAGCAACAACACGCTTGTGAGTCACAAGTTCTTGGTATCTGAGATGAAGTTGAACAGCTAAGAACCTGTCTACACTTACAGCAACTACACCAAGGAACGAAGCCATAGAAAACAAACCCAATGTGATCCCAAACATGTTGAATGTGTTGCAGCTGGGGATCTCTTCCACCAGGTTCTTGATCAAGAGTGAAGTGTAAAACGGCTGTACAAGACAACCAACACCAATATCAGAAACAGCGAGACTCAAAAGCAATGTTTTCAGTGTCTTTGGAAACGAAGAAGTTTTTCGAATCGCGTAGATAGTTACAATGTTAAGCATGATGGCGGAATGCGACAATAAACTGTTTAAAATACTGTTTGAGATGTATGTAAAACGGAGATCGTCAACTTCTGTAGTGATGGCGTAATGATGCATCAAAACTTCGCACGTCGAGTTCTGCGAGTCATTCATGATGTGGACATAAGCGACTTGCCAATAACTGAATGATATTAGAGACAGTCCTTTTAGGTTCCAGAGCACAGCCAAAAACTGAATGACAATAAGACAGAGTCCTTCTAAGTTTCAGCCGTTAAAGGGAAATCACAACTGAACTACGGGACTCGCTCTTTGAAACAATGGAATGCTTTGAATTCAGTGACCACAGTGTTGATTTTTTTTCTGCATAAAAATAGCCCATTTGGTGACGTATATTATTATTAGGAGACTAAGCCTAATGAAGGTTCAATACAGTCGAACTGCCAATCAGTAAAATGTTACTACTTTTAAATGCGAGCAACCTTTCCGATGAAAACTGCATCAATATTTGCCACGCACAGACTATAATACGCCTGTGATACAAATCGTAACTTTTCCTCAATATTTTTTCGTTTTGGCAAATGGACTGCCCAAACGGAACATTCTTATCAGACGGTTACAAAATAAAAAAAAAATACTTGCAGGTCACGTAGTTTGGAGCGAAGAAAAGCCTAGAAGGCTTCCTCAGATTTTGGTCAGCTATGAAACCTTTGTGTGTCAACCGAAAGGGACAATAAGGAAAATGAAAAAACTTAATAAAGACAAAATCTAAAAAAAAACTGACCACAACGGCCTAAAATACCGAGTTGCAATATCAATTCAAACAAACAAAAAGAGTTTCAAGTTCTCAAAAGTGCTTCGTGGATGTAAATGACACACCAGAGCACTTCACAGCTGAATCGCAATAACGTTACTATAAGAACACACCAAAATTCAAAGTACCAGTAAATTAAAACGCTGTTTGAGAAGACAACGGAGCTTTCTCGTACCGTGTTTCCTGTTTTGAGTAAATGGCACTTGAGAATCCCATTACTACGATAACATCAGCATGATTCCGTGGCTAATCACCCATAAAACTTTAAATAACCAAAACGCCGGCATTCTTTTGTTAAATAAGTGCGAAGGTTTTGAACTTTTATCGTCTAAATAAGTGTGGGAAAAAAACCTCTACAAAAAGGTGTGTAAAAAGTAAAATTGCAAAATTTTTACGAGACCGAAATGACAAGTTAACATTCCTTTTAGAAAACATAATAAACGGTTGAACTGTCGAACTATCCTGGAGCCAATAACTTTCTATTACTGAAAAAAGGAAATAAAAGTCATAATGATTACTCAATTGGTGTCATAGGTTATTCCGGGAGCCGTGTGTTTTCAAATTTGACTGGCTCTGACGCGTTAAATACTACAATAATGACTAAAAACAGGAAATATACCAAAATAAGGAAATTTTAGATTTTATTAACTGCTTGCCGTATCCAACCAGTATTGCACTGTGGCGGTAGAAAATGATCTAGAGACGGTTCCTGCAGTCGTACATCACAGCTGATATTAACTTTGAAGTTTAATAAGCCTAAAGTTGAAGGGAGTGCCCATAAATTGTTGCGTGACGAGTTGTGAGTTTGATGAAGAACGAGTAACAAAGCCAAAAATTGTGATTTAAAGTAGACCCGCTCTCTACTTTTCGCAACAACTTTCTTCAACCCGCAACAAATCATTTTGTTGCGCAACATGTAAATACGCAAGGCGAAATACACGAAAAATCGACCCAAAACTTGCACGAAACAATTTTGCGCGACAAGTTGAGAGGTTTGGGTACCTCGTATTTCGCCGCCTTTATAACTACAATTCCTAGTTTCGAACCCGAGCCATATTCCGCGGTATGTTCATGATAGCCTGTCGAATGTGTCGAATCTTCCAACAATAAACAACAGGATTCAGAGATGAATTCAGAAATGTGAGAGTCATAGAGTAAAGAAAAAATTTCGTAATAGCAGTACTTGAAACGATGACATTAGAGGCCACGAAAACTACAAAAAGAGGTAGATGACACAACAAAAACACGACATGCACACAGAACACACAAACTGCAGTCTTTATGGCACTGGCAAATTTCCTTGCCTCTTCAGTCTGCTCTGTTTGTTCCACCTGCAGGGCGTGAATTTGATTCTTGTGCCGTCGTACAATTAAATAAATCTGGATATAAAATACTGTTGTTACAAGGGGACCTATAGAACCAAGGACGAAAGATATTACACTTTGGATGGAGACAAATCCCGCGAACGCAATCAAAGAGACGAAGGCACTTGAAAACCAAACAGATAACAACACAACAACGACACGCCTGTGAGTCACAAATTCCTGGTATCTGAGATGAAGATGAATAGCTAAGAACCTGTCTGGACTTATTGCCACAACACCTAGGAAGGACGCTTTAGCAAACAAAATACTGAGCAAGTCAAAAACCCTGTAGATGGGGCAGCTAGGATGGTTTTGTTGTAACCACTTGACCAGAGTAAGAAAGTACAGCGGCTGCCCCAGTAAGCCAACACCGATATCAGAAACGGCAAGACTGAGAAGCAATGTTTTCAAAGTGTTCGGTAAAGAAGAAACTTTACGTAAGGCATAGATGGTCGCAATGTTCATCATCACGGTTGTATATGATAGAAACACATTAAAAACGCAATTGACGATGTAGGTCGAGCGAAGATTTTCCAATTCGAAAGTCTGGGTAGAAGTCCAGCAAAATGGCACAACTTATATTTGTCACGATAAAAACGAAGTTTTCTGACCTCAAGGAATTGAACGGTTGATAAAGAATACGGTTCGTCAGTCGAGAAATAAATAACTCGGTCTAATTCACTGCCCCCTCATTAATTTTACACGATGAAGTCAACTCAATATTCCAGAGCTTACGTTATCAAGACGTTCTGTTTACACAACTTTAATTATCTGCAGTTGGTAGCGAATAATTTGTACGGTTTGCTATAAATGGAGGTATTGAACTTCTTTTTCATTAGTGAAAAGAGTCGCACCAGGAGACCAAAATTGAATAGAATTTATTAACCTACAAGCTGCCCTAAATTTGGACACAGAAACTAGCCTTCTTTTTGGCATTTGACTGTTTTGTTTGAAGTATTTGTAAGCACTGTGCAAAAAAATGTAGTAGGGGTTATTAATTTAGCACTGTTAAAAGCAAAACATTAAACTAAAATAGTATTCATACATACAAAATCAGCATCCAACACGATAAAATTGGGTAGAATTAAAAATTAGTGTTAAATAAACATATTCACTGACAATTTACAAAGCCAAGTGTTAAATAAACACAGCTTGTGTCAAGCTCCAAGAAATTGAGATGAAATGTAAATTTTTATTATAAGACAATTTTTAGGAAGGAAAACAAGAGAAACTCCAGAAATTTGTGTAGAATGAGAAGGGGGGGGGGGAGAAAGGGAACTAACTATAATTATAATAATGGAAACTTTATTTGTGTTTTTAAATGTACAATTGTAAATCTCACTACGTATAGGCAATTTACAAATGCTGCTTGAGATTGGCTTATTCAACACACACACAAAAATCAAAATTGCATCAAATCTGGGTTGTCCCAATTCCTATTTCTACAACAAAAGACGTAATATGTTGCTCTAATAGCTATATTTATCATTTTCTTGATTATGTAAAGTTGCTGCTTTTTGGCAATGCCTATGTCATTCATCATGCCTAGGAACATAGAGCATTCATCTGAGAAAACACCAAGGGAGCTCATGGAGAGATTTACAAATTTCACACATCTGAAAGTTCTACTCATTTCGTTAATCAAGTTCCGATATTTTTATTTTTTACGTACTGCATTGTTGTACAAGTTAGATTCGAAACCAACTGTTAATTCTAGAACATATAGGCACTTGGACTGGGTTAGGAAAAGAATATCTGGGCGATAATTTCCCCAGTTATTATTGAGGAAGTTAGAAAACCAGTAACATCTGCATAGATTGAGGAGCTAACATTAATTACAGGTTGAAGGGACTTGGCAATGAAGTTAAGGATTGGGTCATGTCTACAGGTAAAGCGATCAAGGCATTGTTGACAACCAGCAACAACATGAAGGAGTGACTCAGGATTAAGGAGAAAGCTGCCGAAAAAAACAGCAAAGCATGGGCCACTGCGGTGGGAGCTTGAACAGAGATACCCTAATTATCAGGTGAAACAATACAAAATTATTGTGGATGTACTCAGAGGTTATATTCAAGAAATGTTAGAAAGGCACTTAAAGAGCTAGTGGGAAATGAGAGTGACACAACAGCTCTACAGATACAGAAGTCAGTCATCGCAAGTTCACTCAATATTGCGAGGTACTTTCGATTTTGAGATAAGGGATATTAGATATTTTATCGCATTTAAGCATTATCATGATGATATAGAACTTTTTAGTATTTAGATTGAGAATTTTACTAAATAGTAATTACATTTAGGACTAAGGCTTTTATGATTAGGAATTGCCATAGTTCACTCAATATGGCGAGGCACTTTAAGATTGAAATAAGGGATATTAGATGTTTTATTACATTTAAGCGTTTTGATAGTGACATATGGAACCTTTAGTATTTTGACTAAGGTTTTTATTACACAGCAATTAAGTTTAGGAATTTCATTACTAGGGTTTCATAATTTCGCTCCGACGAAGGGCTAACGCTCGAAACGTCAGCTTTTGTAATCATTACGGTGGCCAATTTACCATTTCAACTTTGTTGATATATCCAAATTATTTCATAATTAGGAATTGCTATAGGAAGTTTAATTGTAAGGACCTTGGTCGTTGCACTGATTGGTTACGGTTTGCTGCCCAATCATTGGTTAGGATATCTGGGCATCCAGAAGTTTTTACTGCCATAATAATAATAATAATAATAATAACAATAATAATAATAATAAAAGATTTATTTGAATTGAGCATAAATGAGCTTCCAGATGTTTCAAAAGATAAGTAAATTTTTAATAATTAAACTTGAGTAGTAATGTTAAATCTTGTCCATGAAGTAACAAAAGGGCTACATTGATGGGGGAGTATAAGGTAATTTTGGTTTAATCAACTGAGTTAATAATGTAAATTAGCCACCATAAAGAGTTTAAAAGCTGATGCTTAGAGTATTGGCCCTTTGTCAGAGCAAAGGGCTAATGCTGATGAAGGGCTAATACTTGAAACAACAGCTTTGAAACTCTACCATGGCCAATTTTCAATATCAACTCAGTTGATAAAATAACCATGTAGTGACAAAAACTCTTAGTAAGATGTTTGTGTGGGACAACTTAACCCAAATACAAACAAAACATAATTTGGTTTTATCAACTGAGTCGATAAAGTAAATTGACCACTCCGAAGGGTTTCAAGGCTGATGTTTCAAGCATTTTGAGTATTAGCCCTTTGTCAGAGCGAATCTGACAAAGGGCTAAATAATGGTAATTGAACTGAGTGGAGTGCAATTTGGGCTGAAATCATACGAGTGATTTCAAAATCGAACGAGTGCACAGCGTGAGTTTGATTTGAAATCACAAGTATGATTTCAGACCAAAATTGCACAACACAAAGTTCAATTACCACTTTATTACATCCATTTTGAAATCACCCAAATACAGGACTTGGTCAATTCAAATATTTAATTGATGCAGTACTGAGCCGGTTTTTAAATAAAAAGTGGAACTGGTAATGCTTTTACATCTTATTACAAACAGACTTTGATGTCCTGTGTCAAAAACTCAGTCAAGCGTAAAATGATGCGATTTGGAGCAAAAAATGGTGCGATTCGTGAATAAATTGCACCAATTAATTCACCCAAATACAGGACTTGGTCAATTCAAATATTTAATTGATGCAGTACTGAGCCGGTTTTTAAATAAAAAGTGGAACTGGTAATGCTTTTACATCTTATTACAAACAGACTTTGATGTCCTGTGTCAAAAACTCAGTCAAGCGTAAAATGATGCGATTTGGAGCAAAAAATGGTGC